GGGATCAAACTCATGCGGAAGTGACTTTAGCTTCTCAGTGCTGTGCTTTAACCCGCTGCGCTACCAGGGACAGCCCTGTTCTGTTCTCTTTAATGGGTACTTGTATGAGGTGTACATGGTCCCTGGATTAGCATTCCAAGTCCAGTCTGTATAGCAGACTAAGACACGACATGCTTCACTCACTCTGACAGACCGCAGAGCCCAGCTCTTAGCATTCAGTGTGCTGCCTCCCAGCATCTGAACCCACCGTGCACCTCCAGATGAATTCTAGAACTCTCCCTTCCTAACTTCTACCCAGTGGCCTTCCTTCTCTCCAGAGGGTGCTCCTCCCCGCCCCTCCCCGCACCCCTCCATCAGTCAGGGGCAGCTGCCAGGCTGGAAGGGGCTACCACAGCTGAGCTCCCACAGGGCTTAGGCTTTAGCTTCCGGTGTTCACTCCCTGGCTTACAGTTGCTGAAGAGGACCACAGAAATTCAGCCTGCTTCGCCTGCATCATACTGAGCCACGGAAGAGAAGGTTTGGTTTATGGAACCGATGACGTGGTGGCAGTAAAGGACTTGGCAGCCCATTTTAGAGGAGATAGATGCAAAAGCCTTTTAGAGAAACCCAAGCTCTTCTTCATTCAGGTAATCCATCACTTTTCAAAGCCAAGAGCTTGGAAGTGGGAGGGAACTGCAAGTGGCTTGAATTGTGTCCCTTTTATAGCTCCACGTGCTGTCTCAGTGGGTGCACAGATCTGGCTTTTGGGTTCTCTCTAAATGCTTACATCTGCATCTGCACCGGGTCACAGATCATGGGTTATTAAGACGTTGCAATACGGACCTACTTCACCTAGTAAACTGACACAAGGTTCCTTCACCAAATTCTCCCTGAGCTGCTGGAACACGCCATGTTCTGTTTGGGGGGCTCCGTGTTCAGGTGTGTGTGAGCAGCACACACATTTCTGTTGCCAGCTTCTGGAGTGACCTCTGTGTTGCCGCTTAGGCTTGCCAGGGGAATGAGTTCGACGACGGTGTCCAGGCCGATTCGGCGAGTGAAACAGATTCTGAGCACCAGTACAAGGTCCCTGTGGAAGCTGACTTTCTCTTCGCCTATTCCACCGTTCCAGGTATCCGCCCGCTGTCTGCTGCTGGGCCACGTGGTGGGACTGCACTCAAGTGTTAGCTTCACATACAGATGCATTAGCTCTCGGTGCTAGAGGTCAGACTTCCAAGTGGGGGGCCGGGCCCCCTTCCTTGCCTGTCCCCTGTTTTAGCAGTGTTTGATCACTCCGCCTTCCTTGGCTGGTGGCCCCTTCTTCCCTTTCAGAGTCAGTAGCTTCACATGTGACCTTTCCCTGCACACAGCGCTCCCCAACCCCAGCTGGGGAAGACCCTCCTCTTTTAAGGACTCCCGTGGTCTTTGACAATCTCCCTGTCTCCTTCCCATTACCTGGGCCACATCTGCAAGCTACCTGAGCCTCATGAGGGAGTATGCTCCCAGGGACAGGGTCCAGGCCTGGGCATCTGTGGGTCCATTATTGTGCCTGAGAAAGCTGCATTCTCTCACTTAATATTCTCAGGAATTATACACACGAATCTTTCTTTTTTTTTTTAAAGATTTATTTATTTGTGCATACAGAACTGGGGTACAGGCCAGAGGCTCAGGGGTGGTGAGAGGCTTCACCAGAGACAGAGTGGGGAGCAGAACAGGCAGATCGACAAAGTACACTGCTGAGGGGAGCAGCGGGAGGGTCAGGAGAGGTCTGTCGCGCCATGTGGTCACCTCCAGGGCAGGCGGGAATCGAACTCATGCGGAAGCGGCTTTAGATTCTCAGTGTTGTGCTTTAACCCGCTGCGCCACCAGGGAGGGCCACACGAATCTTTCTATGATCCTTTGCAACGCATAGTGTTTTTAGGCCTTTTACCACATTTCATCCTTACAGTAATTGGTAGCTAGGAAAGGTGTTTTTACTGTCCTAATTCTACAGATGGAAAAAAAAGAAATTGCGCTTAAGGGATGTGTCAAGGTCAGGCAGAGATTTCCAGTCACAGTGGCCTTATGGCTCAGCCCTGGTCTCCTTTACACTCGAACCGTCAACCGGCCCCCAACATACTGGGCACAAACAGGCCTGCTGGCTCTTTACTCTGCTCCGTGTTGCTGAGCCAGCTTAACGAAAATCCCTCCTGCCAGCTATAGTAACTGCTTGTCAAATGCTGGACACAAACGTATTGGTGATAGTAGACAGGTGCGGTGTGTTGGGAAAAGCACTTCGGCCAGATCTGCAGCTGTATTTTGTGAGAATGTTGCTTACAAGTTTCAAGCAATGTCTCCTCACAACTCTGCGTGTCTGCAGGGTTTGCTGTCTGAGCCTTCCAGCATAATTCTCATCCTGCATGCAGGATAGGGGGATAACTTCAGCCCAGAGCTCGTTCTGGGTGGTGAGTGGAGCAGGGGCGGTCAGCTGATGTGTCTCTCTTTCCCCCGCTGAAGGCTACTACTCATGGCGGAGCCCGGCATCCGGCTCCTGGTTCATGCAGTCCCTGTGCGCCATCCTGAACGAACACGGGAAAAGTCTAGAGCTCATGCAGTTGCTCACCAGGGTCAACTACAGAGTGGCCAGGCACTTCCAGTCCTTTACCAACGACTCAGCCACAAGCGGGAAGAAGCAGATTCCATGCATCATGTCCATGCTCACCAAGGAGCTCTACTTCCCCAAGTGACCACTCGCGCGCACAGCTGACACAGAACAGATCCTTGGTTGACGAATCAGGCTTTTGGGAAATAGCTGTAAATTCGACGTATACCAGATGTTCAAAATTGAAGGGGAGATCATGAATGAATTTCTTCAATTAGTGTTAATTTCAGGAAAATTTGTTGATTTGACAAGGAAAAAATCTCCATGGTGCTTGGGGATTTTAGTGCGCGCGTGTGTGTGTGTGTGTGTGTGTGTGTTTACAGTGCTACAGGCTTGATGCTGTTATAATTTTCTCATTGTATTTCCTTCTCCTTCTTGTCCCACTCTTACAACAGTTATAACCTCTTCAGATGACTCCTGGTGGTGTCCCCTGTGGGTGGTAATGACATCGGTATACAGTGTCTGTGTCTGGCAAAGAGAACACCGGTGGGGCCTTGACAGAAAATAGCTTGTGTTTACCTGTATTGCCAAAGGTGGTTATTGAGTGTGATGTCAGCAGTTTTTTGTCGACCTAGGGAAGGTTCTCATGCATAAATTCCCATATAAGTTGGGGGACAGGAAGAAAGTAAGGATTCAAATATGTATGAGTCAGAATCCAGTTAGGAAAACAGGAACCATTCTAGTTGTTTTAATAGAAGGAACTGAATAAAGGGATTGACTCAGAGATGATAGAAGAGAAGCCAAGTAAATGGAAGCAGTTGCTACCTAGGGCTTTGAAGAGGTCCAGAATCTGGAGTCCTTCACAGGAGCTAGAACCGTTCTAGGGAAAAGCTATGGCTGAATATGAGGCAAGGCCTGTGAGTCCCACACAGAGGAAAACCTCTCCTGTGCCTTTCCTTCTGCGCTCAAATCTTCCCATGAATATGAATATAGGAAGTCATACGCCTCAACTTACCACAATTCATCTCCATTCCGCCATTCATTCATCAAAGTGTCAGATAAACGGTGCGTTACCTGCCAGGTACAAAATAATCTGTTAGCTTTTGAATGGACTGGAAACTTTTTAGATTATTTCGAGCCTTATTCTCAGTAAATTTCTTGTTGTTTCCTATAAATGGGGGATAGTTTTTTTTTTTTTACTTTCTTTACAAGGTGGTACTGTCTTTTGAATTCTGGGTAAATAACTGTTTTATTCTGTCTAGTAACTGGTTAACAAATGTTCAAATTTATTGATTAAAACGTATTTGCTTCTAACCTGCTCAGTTTGCTTTTCTTTTGAAGATTTTATGGCAGTAGGAAAATGAGAAAACAGGATAAAAATTGACTACTAACTTGACATCAACACAAAATATAATTCATGTTTCTTTTGAAGCTGGAACACTAATAAAAAAAATCACTTAGGAAACTGAAACTCTTCACATAAAGGCTTACTCTACTTATAAAACTGTTGGTGATAGGCTGCCTTGATTAATTTGGCAACAAAATTAAATGATACACAAGTATCGTCTTTCAATAAGGAATTTTTTTAGGGCCAGTTTATTAAACTTGTTTCTGGTTTCCTGCCATCTAAAATATACCAAATGTTCAAATTTTAAGTGATCATGAATTAAGAATCCACATGCATCTATCTTGTTATTCCCAGAATTCACTTTGGAAAATAGACAATCAGATTAAAAGATCCTTAGTTTAGAGTTAACATTACCTAAATGCTTTGTAACTGGAAGTAAAAAACACACGTTATTTTTCTATTGCCTATTAAAAGAAAGTTATTTAACATTCATGAAAGAGAAAAACAATCCCAAATATCAGACTTACTTTTTTTTTAATTCTCTGAGAAGTTCCAAGTATTAAGCTCACAGATGAGTCAGAAGTATAAATGTATAAATTACTGTTAAGAATGAGTATCCACCCTTGAGCACTTTATTGGATAGAATTGTTTATCAGGATCACAAATCCTATTCCAAGTTGGCTATAAGTTCAGTCACGCTACCAATCCCAAGCTTTCTGATCTTTTTAGAACCTGGGATTTTGACGGCCTTGCCTGGAGATGTCAATCTTGACATTCCTAGTTCTCGCTGTGCGTTAGAAGGCAAGCTCCCTTCCGCAGGAGGAACAGAGGACGCTGTTCTTGTCCTGTGAGTAAAACCACACAGCTGTGGTGTCCTCACTGCATTGGGGTTCAAATCTGGCTTTCTCTGTTTTTTCTCACAGTGCCATTCGCCTCTTTTAAGAGTTTACTGTTAATGCATTCACAGATTTAGGCTTTGCCTAAAAGTGAATTCCCATAAACCATCATACATCTGTGTTTATGAAGTGCCCAAAATAGGCTCCAAAACCAAGAGCTGGGTCCAGTGGGTTGTCATGGTTTAAACCTCAAGGAAACCCAAACTTTCTGTGAAAAAAGCCTGTGATGTGCCCCCGAGAAGGCCACTTCCTGCATCAGCCTTGCATCACCTGAAATCTGTTGTTACCAGCAACTCCAGTCGCCTTTTGGCTTCCTAGAAGCACACCCTTCCACCTAGCTTTTCATCTCTCAGGCCCTTTACCAGCAAACAGCTGGTCAGGTGAGAAACTGCGGTGGTCACCAATTTATTGCCCGAATTAATCTGTGTCATCAGCAGGGAGACATAGCAATAGTGTAAGGATCACTGATTTCCGAAGCAATGTGATCCTTACGAATTCTTGAAAGTTCTACAAATCAAAAGATCCTCTGAAACTGCTTGCATGTCAGTATTTAAAATCTCGCAACACTAAGTGCATTCAGAGTGATGCCAGCATCCTCTGGGACCTTGTTGGCAATACAGATTCTCAGACTCTGCCCAAGGCCCACTCAGGAATCTGCATTCTCACCAGATCCCTAGGGTATTTGTGTGCACAGTGCAGTTTAAGCTCTGTTCAGAGAACCAGGACTGGTTATTTCCATACTTATGCTTCCCCTCCACACTGAACATAGATCAGATACTATGCTTAAGAAGAATTAGTAAAAGAACATGTATATTTCAGAGCTTTCAAAGAAGACATGTTTCCAAGCATCTATTAATCTTCAGCAAAATCCTCTTTTAAAACAATGATATCCTTCAGTTACGTGATATACTTTCTACACCCCTCTCTGTTTTATATGAGCCTTCTGCTGAGTGATATAATAGAATTGTTTATATGTTCTCAAAGTGTCTGCAAATATGAATTGTAGCCTTTAAAATGTCTTCATAAACAGAACAGGATTAAGGAGCCATTCCTCGCATGTTTTCGTTGGCTGCAGAGCTGTTTTGCCTTGAAGCCGCAGTTTGTCTCTTCCCACCTGTCCACAGAGCCCAGTGGACACCAAGAGAATTATCACCTGTCTCTGCCAAAGTGTCCTCAGGCCATAGATCAGCCTTCTGACAGAGCTCAGGGCTTTGTTTTGGATCAGCCGGCAAATACTTCTTTTTGATTCATAAATCATTAACACAAACACATCTAGAGCACGTTTGGAAGACTCAGCCACTCCCTCAGTATTGATTTGGACATGGAAACTCCATTAACTTGCAGTTTCATGTGTGAACAGTCCTCAGAAAATACGTGATCAACATTTGAAAACACGAAAGCCAAATATGATGAGTTAGCTTTGGCATGAGTCTGGGCTTACATGACCCGATAAATATTTATGGCACTACAATTTCCTAATAAATCTGTTTTAAGCATTTAAAGCCAAAGTATGTGTAAGAATTTAAATTTGGAAGGCACATGGGGTTTTGGCTGTAGATACATAAGACCAAGTCCTTGTTGAGTTTTGATGACCCATTGTGAATGGCATAAGATTTGGGAAAAAGCCATACAAACAGTCTGACAGGTATGGTAAAAATTGTTAGCTCAGCTTGAATCATTTAAGGCATACCTCAATCAACATGACATCAAAATTTTTTCCCTCTGGATCCAAGTTAGCAGAGGTGCTTTGTGGTATTAATATTTGGAAATTTGTCTTTGAGTTCTAACTCTGCCCTGCTGCTTAGTTCATGTAATTCTAGGCTCTCAGCCCTCATCTAAACACGAGGAGGTAATATTGTGACAATTAAGTGATATAACATACAAAGTGCTTAACACAATGCCTGGCACAAAACACTGCATAAATTGTAGCTACCAAAGATGATAATATTGAAGGTGATAAAGATAATATAAAAAAGATGACATGATGATGGGGGTGGTGATGATAATGGCGGTGGTGGGATGATAATAGTGATGATGGAGGTGGTGATGGTGAGGATAATACAATGGTGATGGTAATGAATGGTGATATGATGATGATGATGATGGTCATGGTCCTGATAATGGTGGTGATGGCAATGATAATGGTGGTGATGGTCATGGTGGTAATGATAATGGGGCGGGGGGCTGGTGAGATAATGATGCAACAGTGATAGTGATGGTGATGATCTGATGGTGATCATGATAGTAAAGATGTTGATGATGAAGATGATGTGAGACTCATACTAATGTTAGGAAGGACGATGTTACCCCAATCCTCTATTCACCCTTTGAGCCTCAAGGTCTACTTTTTGCTCATATCTTCTAGTCTATGCTTTTCAAAATTAGGTCTCCCAGAAGTGCAGGGATTCACCAAAGAGATTTATGCATCTAACATTTAAAGAGTGCCAGGTGCTTGTTAGAGATAGTCTGCAAAGGTAACAGAATGACGCATTCCACAAAGGAGGTAGCTATACACTTAGTAAAATAGTGGCTATACAGAGTGGTGCATACATTACTTTGGAAGACAGTTGAGGAGGTGTCTCTCTCCTTGGGCAAAGAGGAAAAATCTAATTTTCATTTTAACCTCCCAACAAGACTGAGAGTAGCCAACAGAGAAAAGAAGATAAAGGTTAGATGTAGATGATTCCTTCAGTGCTTCTGAAGATTTGGGGTACCTGACAATCATTTTGTTTGTAAAGCAGATCTCTGTGGGGCCCTCCCTGGTGGCGCAGCGGGTTGAAGCACTGCACTGAGAAGCTGAGGCCACTTCC